GCATTCTCCAGGTATTCGTCGGTCTCGGGAAGCTCTTCAAGGGTCATCTTGATATCCGCGATGGATCCTTCGCGGTAGCTCAGTTGATCTCTCTTGAACTTGAGGTCATTGACGATGCTCAAATAGCTGTTGGCCTGCTCGTGCTTCTCGCGGATTTGCTCCTGAAGCTCCTCCATCTCCTCTGTGAGGGCATTGCACTTGTCCCTGGAGCTCTCGATATCGTTCTGCAATGCCATAGATCGCTTCTCGGCACGGTCGCCCTTCTCCTTGTTGATTCGGTCTTGTTCCTCAAAGATTTTGAGCTTGGCAAGTTCTTCGCCCTGCTTCTTTCTGAGAACCTTTAGGTTGTCAATGGCTTTGGTGTATCGCATCGCTTCGAAGATCTGGTCGAACTGCTTCTTCAGGGCCGAAGGCTCACTCATGGGCCAGAGAGATTCGTCCTGATGGCAGAAGATGACGTAGTCGAGGATTGCTCTGGAAACGCCCAATTCTCTCGGGATAAATTCATCCATCTGGGCGACCCGGGATGAAATGACGGTACGTTCGCCATGGTTGTTGTACACTAGTGATCCCTCGAGAGTCTTGAGCGATCGAGTGGTTTTCTTGACGGTTAACTGAAGGCTTCGTGTCGCAACGCATTTGTGGCTGCTAGTCGATGTGAACGCAAGCTTGACTTGGGCCAAGACTTCCTTCTCTCCGCAGAGCTGCAACATGTTAGCCTCACTAGGTGAATTGGGCGAAAGTATAAGGCACAAACCTTGGGGTCATGGACGAAAGCACCGCCTTTGCTGTTCGGAGGTTGCTCGCCGGTGGTCGCATATTTGAGACACTCGATAATAGTCGTCTTACCCGAGCCGTTGTAACCGACGATGAGGGTCAAGGGAGTGTAGAAGGAAATCGTCTCCCTGCTGCCACCAAAAGAGCGAATGCCCTGGATGGATAGCTTGTCAATTTTAGACATGGTGACTTGGGGCCAATGCCATGCGATGAGGTGGGATTGAGCTGATCAATGAGGCGCGGTTCAAGAAGACGTTGGCACGAAGGTTGGGCCCAATAGGAGAATTTCGCAAGAAAGGCAGGCCTTTTTGTCTTCTCGTATGGGAGGTTGCTCCTTGGGGTGGCTCGTCGTCGCCGTCCAGGCTCCAATGAGGTCGGCACAGAGGCGGATAGGTGCCTTGAGTGGGATGCAGGATGTAGGGGACGTGCACCAAGGAGGACGCGCCTTCCCGGCAGCCAGGCACGCGTTGATGGAGGTGCGAAAAAGCGTGACCTCGCATACATGTTTATGTAAGCCGCTGTTGACTTGAGGTAAGGTACTCAGTCAAGCAATAAACGCTACAGAATGCTCTAGGTATCCGACGGCAATATCGTTACTGACTGATCCTCAGCACCGTCGCTCTCCTCAGATAAGGTACTCTGCCTATAATATGCGAGGTTCGATATAGGTACAGTGATTTGGGTACCTGGAAACGCCCCGAATATTACGGGAACACTAGATACAGCATATTCAGAGTTGAGATGAAACCCATCTTGTGAATATTCCATCTCTTGTGTGTGCACGCCCTGGTAAGATACCTAGGGAGAGCAATTCGAAGTGGGGTGGGTTTCCGAGAGTCTTCACACAGCTCGAGCTACCTTAGGCACTTTTTCGGCTGGGGCGCTAATTAATAAGATCGGACTACTTTGGGAGAGCTCCTAACTTACCTAGGTGCCAGGTAGAGACGGTGCATGCACAACGTCATCGAGACAACTTGGGCTTATTCCTTTGTCAGAAGATGTTCGTACTAGCCATGAATGCTCGCAATATCCGTATGGAGACACATGTTTGGTAGGCATATTAGAAGAGTTTCTCCTTCAACTGCTTGTGAAACGGCATGATTCCGAGGCATTTTGCGCAACTGATGCTGTTGCTCCATTACATCACTGAATACCCTGCATCAAAAGGACAGGTACTATCAAGCAGGGTTCAGTTCTAAGGTAGTTTAGCAGATTCCGTCGAGTATCTGATGGGGTTTTGTAATGTTACAACGCGAATACGCCATATCCATAGTCTTTTCTGGTGGATTGCAGGGAACATTACTCGAGTCAAGGCCTAGAGCGATCGAACAAGCTGCAAGTTGGAGTAAGCGCAGCATGCCCGCTCAACAAGAAGTCATCAGAAGAAAAGTTTAGAAGAAGGTTGTGCGTATTGGGCAAGCATTCCGGACGTGACGCTCTGACTTTGGTCCTCAGCAGTCCTGATTTTCGTCTGGTTGACGGGACGGAGGGTGAATGACGACTACTGACATGCTGTAGTTTCCAGGTTCTCTACAGATAGTGTTTCCGGTACCATTTGACTTGGGCTGATGCTTTACTCAAGAGACAACCGCCAAGTGCCAGCCACAGTTCACTCGCGAGTTGTGAGGCGCAAGACGTGAGGCGTGAGACAGATAGCGGATACTTTATGGTTCGATGCCAAACAAGCCACGAGCCCACGACGTCCAGTCCTAGTTAGGTACTGTCCAACTCCAAGCCAGCCCCACTGAGTGGTCGGGGCAAGGCTTTGACCGCTCAAATTGCTGTGCAAGACGGGGTCACAAATGGCTCTAGGTCGGGGCATTTGCTCCGGACAGCGCTATCCCAGTTGACAAGTTGGTCGACCCGTCGGGATGGGCTAGGAGCAGTGAGGGGATTATCGTTGTGCTGAGTTCTCAGGGCATCAGCCTTGGAACAACTTTTGATGGAGCTGGCTGCTGGGCATGGGCCGTGCATGCCGGGCGCATGACCTACGGTGCCCAAGGCATACAGTAAGGCAAGGTGAGGAAAGGTCAGGTAGACGATGCCATGTCTTTTCATGCTTGCCATGTGCTGCTATACACTAAGGTCTGGCTAGCGAGCAAGGTGAGGTGCGGCTTTCCATGAGATACTCCCGTACATACCTACCTAGTACTTAAGTTGGTAGGTAGGTACCTTAGGTATCAGATGGGACATGGGAGAGTTTTCGGCGGGGTTCAAAGGATAGAGGTCTGGAATTGGGAGGGGGAGTCTATGGTAGTGTACACTCAGTAGGTACCTTAGGTGCGGAGTACGGCTATAGAGTGAGGTAATGTGCCAGAGTGGAGGGGAAGAGGGGGAAGTTGGAGGCAACTCATTGGGCGGAGAGAATCTGGGAAGTACCTCAGTCTCAGTGAACAGAGGCCCGGCGCCCAATGTGAATGGCCAAGTGACCCAACCCAATGCAAGGAAGGCAGGGTCGGGTGCGATGACGAAGTACCTGCCTTCCTTGAGGTAGGTACGGAGTACTTGCCTGTGCTGTGCCGGCGACGGTGGAGGGGTGCAGCGGACCATCAGCGGTGCAGTTAAGGACGGGATGCTTGAGGTGAAGGGGGGGAAAAGTCCATAGCCAGAATTGCCATGTGCTCCGTTTCCATTTTGCAGTTTCCCATCCTTTTTTTCCCACCTCATCTCAGGTCCCTGCTTCTTCCATTGCTTCTTGCACCTGCTGCTTCCGCTACCTTACCTACCGCTGCCGCTTCCGCTTCCCTTTTTTTTTTTTTTTTCCCATCCGTATCCGTACCTTACCTTACCTTACTTTACGGAGCTCAATATCTTACGTGCGGGCTCGCAGCTCTGCACCTTCTGAGCTCAAGGTAGCCATTCTGTCCCTGCCAAATTTTTGGATGGTGACGACTTGACCTTATTTTCTCTCTCCTTTCCTGCACTGCACTTTCGTGTGCCTCGCACCTTCACATCTCAACCTTTTTTCCCTTTCATCTTTTCCCCCCATTCTTGTCGTCTCCTCATCCATTCCCTCTCATCCCATTTCACTCCCCCACCGTTCCGACGCAGCTTCTGATCTTCCCTCGCGACCCTGCATCGCTGGCCAGGCCAGGCCGCGCCTCGACTCGACCTCATTTTATGACCCGCGTGCCAACCTGACGGAACCCAATCCAGCCCTCGCAAAGCGTCTCACAGCAGCCAAGACAAGGACCGCAGCCACGGGCTCTCTCTACTACGTACTGTCCATCTCACCCACCGCTGCACTCACTTGATCTGGCCTTCCATCTTGGCCCTCGACTCAAAAGCCCGTCTCATTCATCCACGCACTCAGCTCACTCACTCACTCCCTCGACAACTGGCCCCGTGTACTACTAGGTACTGCTGCCGCTACCGAACCCTCGCTTCCTTTTGCACCGCTGCGAACCAGACAGGCATAGTCAGCCTCTGTACCGATACTCATTCGCAGCCGCAAACCCATCTGGCCCTTTTTATTAATTGATACGAGACCCCGTCGCTTGGAAACATTTCACAGAGAAACATACCACCACCACCACCACCATCCCCGTCGACCTTATCTGGGTGCCCTCCGCTTTCTTCTCTCTCTCTCCCTCTCTATTCCCTCGTTCTGTTGCCTTCGCCGGACGCACTCTGACGTCGTCTTCGAATCCCATTCTTTGGCACCCTTTTCGACAAAAAATACAAAATAGACGTTCTGACCAAATAGACATGCAAGGCTAAGCCCACTACTCGATGCACAAAGCCCCGTACCAGCTCGCACCCTACATTCTATCTTGATCTATTTAGGTTCTAGGCCTCTCCGGATCACCAGTTCCTACTCCCCGCACCTGCTCATACCCATACGACGGTCCTCGCGACTTAGACCAACGAGCTCACTCTCTCGCGCTTTCACAGCTCACCGTTGTTGCACACCCAGTAAGCTACTGCTGGTTGTACCTGGCATTGGCCCCAGTTCGAACCTGGTCCTCGCTCCAGCCACAGGCGCAAGCAACCATCTTATCGCAGTTTGAGCTGCCAACAGACGCACGAGACGGTACATACCTTGCGAATAGACCCAGCCGATTTGCAGTGCCTACCGCCTTACATTGGCCGCCAGGTGAACGGGACCGCATTCTGCTCCCCCCGGGCACACTTCCCGTGCATCGGGATCAAGTCAGCCCCCTCAAATCGCCAATGCCTTTGTTAGAAGCCGTCAGGGCCAGTATCGGAACAGTACCGCAACCATGTCTCACGGACCACCTCAGCCTCCAACCAATTTTCTTGGCTTTGGGCCCCAAGATGCCTATTCCGCCTTTGAAGCTGTTCGTTCCGCCCGCTTTCCTAACCATGCTCCTCCTCCTGATCTGATAACTCACTTTCTTCCCCTCGACCGCCTCGCTTACCTCTCCTCTCTGTCACCCTTCCCGACCTCCGACCCGCCAGACCCCCCGGCGCATTGTTTTGAGAAACCACCCCCATTACTACAATTCGCTACAGACCGCTCCCAACAACGCGCTGACGCAATGCAGATGGCGGAAGCCGACCCCAACATCATGTCGTCTCTCCTGGACTCGACAGTCTACGGAAGCTTTGACGCCATGTCCATGAGCGTCGACAACCCCAACGACGAGAACGCCATGTCTAGCTTTAACTTTGTCGGCAATACACCAATGCCCGACGGCCTCCCCGACGATACCCCTTCCATGAATAACAATTACTCCAACAATGGCGACGATACCTCCAGCGTTGTTGGTGGGGGCCCCATGCCTTCGAGCGGCTTCAATTCGCAGGCTTTGCAGCAGGCCGGCAGCACCCTCACCGAATTCACAAAGAGGCGCAACTGGCCAGCAAAGGTCGTCGAAGAGCTTAAAGACTTCCTCCAGATACTCGACGCCAATGGTCGCATACGTTTCGTCTCCCCGAGCATTCTAAATCTTACGGGTTATACCGCCGACGAAATCCTCGACACATTCCTCAAGGAACTCGTCCACCCTGACGACCAGGGCGTCTACGTCGCCGAGCTAAACGAGTCTATAGCATCAGGAAACCCGCTACGCTTATTTTTCAGGCTAAAGAAGAAGGATGGTAAATACGCCATTTTCGAGTCGGTCGGTCACGCCCACATCGCCGCATCCAAGTTTGCACCGAACCCGCACAATCAAACGCCGTTTTGCCAAGCCGTATTCATGATGTCGCGCCCGTATCCAACAAAAAATGCCGGCTTACTGGACTCATTCCTGGAACACAAGATTGAGAACGAACGTTTGAGGAGGCGCATTGCTGAGCTGCGCAAGGAGGAAGACATGGAGAATGAAGAATCACAGAGGCAGTGGCTCCAGAGCCAGGAAGGCAGGTCGGACGTAACACCATCGGAAACCACAATGACATCCGCCCCGAGCGCCATATCTCGGGCCGGTGACGGGGGCGACAGGTCATCAGCCCTCAACGTTGCGCTTACACGCGAAGCACTGGAGGGTGTTGCGGGGAGCCGCCCGGATTCACTAAAGGACAAGATGGCCAGATACGAAGGGAACTCACACACTGATACCATTGAGATGTTGACCGGACTGAGATACATCGAGGGCGAGAGGAGCCGCGGCATCACAACAGGAAACGCGAGTCCGACCTTGATCAAGGGAGACGCGGGCATTGCGATTCCACAGGACCGGGACCCTCGGACAGGTGACAAGAAGAAGAAGCTCAAGACTTCGGAGGAATATGTCTGCACGGATTGTGGTAAGCTCCAACTTGGATGCGGCTTGCAGGCTGCTTGGTATGGCAGGATGCACGCAGCACACCGGCTAACGATGATGATCTGAATAGGTACCCTGGATTCTCCGGAATGGCGCAAAGGCCCCAGTGGACCGAAAACATTATGCAACGCGTGTGGCCTTAGATGGGCCAAGAAGGAAAAGAAGAATCGACATGGTAACAACAACGCTCATCACTCAGGATCGTTGCAAGTCGAGCATGGCGGAGGTTAAGTTTTAATGAGTCACCACTGGCGCATTGGTCGGCAAGTGCCCACGAGGACTGCCCTGGGCGTGGTCATTCCACATGCACCGGAGTTGGCGTCTGGAAGAAGGCATGGCGCAGAATATCAACTTTGACGGACATGCAGCTGTTTGCCATGTTTCCAGCTTTGTTATTTCACAGCAATCAAGATACCTGAAGGCAATTAGGTCATGGGAAGGAGGAAGGTCGTAATTTTGGCAGGAGCAGTTTTCAGCAGCAGAATCTATTTCAAGCCATGTTGCTTCAACCGACGGGGTGATCATCCGGTCAGGCGAGTCAGACGCAGTTGATGTCCGCAGCGGCTCGGGCGGGACCTACCCGGACGTGCGGTCCTGTTTATCGCAGTTCGGCCGGCGGTCAAGACTCGACCCCAGTACCGGCTAGGAGGTGTAGCCTGGCTGTCGGCGGGCGGCAGGCATCGCGTCGTGCCCGGTGTTCCGAAGCGGATCAGCATTTGGCATTGACTGGCTACCTAAGCCACAGCTTGCCTCTCCAGGTTCTTCCCGCGGCAGAGGCGTACCATCGAATTCAGGCTGCCACGCTCGGGATCTGAGTTGATTGCAGAGTATTACATCCGTTCCAGACCCGAATTCGCCTCGTTCACGCGTCCATGGCCATCCATCGACTGGCGTTGACACATGAAAGCCCGGGGGTTTCCTGAAACAGGTCGTTCGCCCTGGAGCTCTACACACAGCTGGGCAGGCTTCGTCCTTGCATAGAGGCGACTCAGGTCATCCCCGCGCGAATGAATTGCAGCCACTACCTTACGCTGCGCGACTGCTTTGCGAGGGTGTGTAGAGCTTGCTACTGTGGGTGAGACATAGGAAGCTAAGGTACCTAAGCAACAACCAAAGGTGCTAGGTTCCGTTGATCATCCAGGCGGGGGGCCTCTCACAGAAAGGACCCCGCTGTCGGGGCGGATCAGCTGTGGAGGGGTACCTAAGGTACCTTGTGAGGGGCTACTTCAGGGTCCAACTGAGGAGCACTTGCCAAGGCACCGCCCATGGAGCCCAAACACCTCACCTCACGAAAACATCTGGCCCGGTTCTTAACGACTGCACACATTGTATCGCCTGCTCCGGCGTGTGCAAGCATCGAGCTGCGTCATTTGAGTTGCACTACCGACATGAGTAGTCTATGGACGGCCCGGGGGCTTGTGGTCCCCTCCCCTTGTACGGAGTACAGCTAGCCTGCTCCATACCTTACAGGATGTGTTCTTAGTGGTTCCATTCTACCGCCTGTGCTGCTCAGGTTGTTGATTGTGGCTGTGAACCGGGAGGCCTATCCGACCAAATCAACAGTCTGCCACAGATTCATTGGATGTCGTTCGATTCTGATTCGACGTTGCTTCTGAATTTGGAGGGGGCATGCAATGATGCATGGCCAGCTCAGGGCTCCTGAGACAGTTGATCGCCCGCTTGGTGATGCGGAGACGTGGCTCGCCTGTGCTATTTACAAAGAGCTATCAAAACCTGGGACTGCCTTACTTACGCTTTTAATTCTTCTCGTTCGCGTCATCTTTCCTCTCTCCCTCATCTCTTCTCTCTTTTCTTCACTTCTTGCAAGACTAAGCGTTCTCTACCCCAAGAAACCCCACACTATTACATCATTACCCATCATCATCATCATCAAGCTACGACAAGCTTCTTCACAATGGACAAGCTCATGAACGCCGCGCAAGAGTACCTCGCCAAGGACGACGATAAGCCCAAGCAGCACCAGCAACAGGGCTACGGTATGTGTGCTCGTTCTCGCCGCCCTTTACAAGCTTTGGTGCCCTTCCATTGGGATACCTTGGTACCCCGCTGTCCCGGATCTTAACCCCGCCCCTGCCCCTTGAATATCACCAAAGGTTAAAGAGACTGGGAAAGAAGCTTTTGACTGATTATGATGCTGGAAATATAGGTCAACCCCTTCCCGGCGGCGACAGTAAGTTTTCTTCTCCTTGCGGAAATCTTTTCATCTCATTTTTCCAATCGGACCGAGTTCCCGTTACATTTGGGGGGTGTCAGTCAAATTGCTTGATTTGATTAGCTGCGTGTAATTGACTGGCAGAGAGAGAAATCGAGAGTTCAAGAGCCAGCTGGCTAATCACCCCATGTGCAAAAACAGAGTCCCACGGAGGCAACTACCCCGCCGGCGCCGGAGCCTTCGCCGACGACGATGACGAGGACGATTACCGCCACGCCGCCAACGAGGCCTCGCGCCACGCGGGATCGCACGGCGATACGGATCTGTTTTCGAGTGTGCTTGGCGCCTTGACGCAGAAGAAGGGACAGTTGAGGAACGAGGATATTGATGAGGATGGTGCGTTGGCTTCTGTCTTTTTGGATGTCACTACCCTATATCCCCTTTTACACTTCTTTTCTACTGGCAATAGCACCATGGTGCCGAAAACAGGAGAGAGTGAAAATTAAAGAGAGAGAGAGAGAAAGAGAGAAAAAAAATGCTCATCTACACCATGATACCAGTACTGATCCAGAGTACCAACAGAGGCCGTCAACAAGCACAAGAAATACTTTGGCGACGACGACGACGACGAAAAGGCAGACGACAAGGGTCTCGGCGCCGCGGCCGCGATGCAGGCGCTCAAGATGTTCTCGAGCGGGCAGACGGGCGGACAGAAGCAGTCCCAGGGCGGGTTCGCCGGTCTCGCCATGGCCGAGGCCAGTCGGGTGAGTTTCTCTCCCCTTTTCCCTCCACACCTACACTTACACCTACACCTTCGTCTACACCTACATATCCGTCTACGCGTCTACTTTAATTCCCCTGATCAAAGCGTCCTCCTGTCGGTGTGAAGGAGTAGAACAGGTACAATGTAACTAACCCCCGCTACTCCAATAGCTCTTTGACCAGCGCCAGTCCCAGGGTAAAGTTGCCGACGGCACGAGCAAGGAGTCCGCCATCCAGCAGGCGGGGGAGATGGCGCTCAAGATGTATTTCAAGAGTCAAGGACAGCAGCAGGGCGGTATCATGGGCCTGGCGTCCAAGTTTATGAAATAAAGTGCCTGTCCATGATTTAGGGATTAGGTGCGGATAAAGCACGGGGAAACCCACAAAGGGCATGACAATGAAAATGAAATGAATTATATCAAGACCCTATAGAAGTATTCCGTGCTTGATTCATCATCATGATTAGATTTCTTGCAGGCTAGAGGTACTGAGATAGGATTACATTGGTTTTCTGATACTCATCAAGCCAACAGACGATCTGCTGCATCCTTTTCTCTCGGATTCGCTTCCTTTGGCCCTCTTAGATGTTCTTCTTCGCCTCGAGGCCGCCATTCTTGGCAACCTCGACAACATCCACCCACCCCTCGGGCCTCTGCCGCCCCTCCGCGATCAAATACGTCTCGGCCTCCTTCGCCCAGCCGAGAAGCTGCTCCTCGCAACCCCACTCCGCCATAGCCATGAGCCCAATGGGAACCTTGCCGTCGCCCTGTACGGGATCGACGTAGCCCACAGGCGCCGTGACAGCGGGACACCCGCTCACGTTGGCGACGTAGACGTAGCTCATATTTGCAATGGTGGTGTTGGCATCAGAGACGCCGTACGCGTCGTCGCCGGGCTGGCGGGGCCAGCCGGGCAGAGGGGTGGTTGGCGTGACGATGAGCATGCCCGGGTTCTGCTCGTAGAGCCAGGCGACGTGCTTCATCAGCAGGTCGCGGAGCTGGGCGTACTTCATGTAGTCGCCCGCGGGCGTCTGCGTGCCGACGGACATTGTGATCTTGTTGGCGTGGTTGATTATGGACTGCCACTGTTCCGGGTCCGGGTGGCGGTGGCGGGCGAGGTCCTGCATCTCGGTGACGCAGGTGGCCGAGTGCATGAGCTGGATCTCGCGGAGGTAGGGGATCTTGATGGGAACGACAGTGTATCCCTGTGATTTGAAGTGGTCCACGGCGCGGCGGCAGACTTTGGCGACGGACGGGTCTGCGCGGGACCACCACGCCTCATCGATGCCGATGAGTTTCGGGGAGGAGGGGGGGAGTGCCGGGGAGGGGGTGTAGAGCCCTTGTATGGGGTCGTCTGGGTTGGGGCGGGACATGAGGCGGTAGGTGATTGTGAGGTCGGCGACGGTGGCGGCGAGGGGTCCGACTACGCAGACCGACGAGTTCATTGCCATTGTGCGGTGGTGGGAGGGCTTCAGGCCGTAGACGGAGTTGAAGGAACTCGGGATGCGGATGGAGCCGCCGGCGTCGGTGCCGATTGCGATGGGGACTATGCCGGCGCCAAGGGCGGAGCCGGCTCCGGAGGAGGAACCGCCGGGGTAGTACGATTTGTTGTGCCAGTTTGTGGGGGTTCCCCAACGGGGCTGTTTTCATAAAGTCAGCTGTTGAACCAAGTGTTTACGAAGATTCCGTCTCGTGAAACGCCGTATCTTCTACTCACGTTGCAACCGTTGGTATCTGCAGGGTCTCATGTCAGCTTTGTTCTTGCAAGTTTTGATAGGGAGCGGCAATACGAACCTCCTCCCAGCTCATGCATGGCGTTCTTGCCCAAGACGATGGCGCCAGCGGCCTCAAGCTGCTGTACAGGCCATATCGTCTTGTCGGCGGCCTTGAACCACGGCAGGTCGGGGCGGTATTGCATTCCATTGTGGCTGACGTAGCCCTTGACGTCGCAGTCATCCTTGACACCGATGGGGACGCCGTCGAGGGGTCCCAAGGTTTTGCCTTGCTTCCACCGCTCCGTGGAGGCGCGGGCTGCGTCGATGGCGAGGTCCTCGCGGCCGTGGGACGCCACCCAGGCGTTTGCGTAGGGTCCCGTCTCGGGTGGGGGGTGACCCTCTGCGCGCCGGATCAGGGGCAACAGTGACTGGACCACGTCCAGCGGGGTGACGGCTCCTGAGGCGTAGAGGGCTTGGTAATCTGCGCTGGATAGATAGCGGCCTGGTTGGTCTTGCGGTGCCGGGGTTGTCAGGTCCTTGGTGAGCGCAAGGGGTTCCGGGTGGGATCCTGTCTCGGAGAGG